CGTTATATTCCGAGCGCACGGCAGATATTTATTCCGAGCAAATATTCAGTAACGTAATAGAATGTAAATTGCATTTCTCCATTTATTGCACATGCAAATATTTGTTAAAAAAATCTGTGCGCGAAACATTCGTTTGACGTGACGTACGAATAATTACCGAAGATAGCGGCGCATAAATTGATATTAAAGTGGATGCATAAATAAAGATCGGCTGCAAAACGATCCTAAGTCTTGACACGTATGGCGTATCGTGAGTAAACATGATGAAATGCGACCCGAAACGGCACGCGCGTGAAAAATACGTCTGTACGATATTGCCTTATAAAATAATATTTACAACGAGGGGCGTGCATCTTGTAATATTTGAACACTCTCTCGGAAGCATAAGATGGAGTCGAATCTTTCCCGTGTACACAGAAAAGAAACTAATCTTCTAAATCGAGACAAATATTTTTGTATATGTATGATAAGCAAAAATATTATAATCTTCTTAAAAATTTTAGTCTTGATTTGATTCAATTTGATGCAGGTATTACTTTTGCTTAATTCAAGACTAAAAATATATGAAGATTATAATATTCTTGTTTATATGAAAATACATAGTCTTTATTTAAAATTTTTTTTCTGTGTAATTGTCGACTCTGAAAGAATGATTTAGTTAGAATAAAAATTTAATCAAATATATATATATATATATATATATATATATATATTTGATATTAAAATAATTATGTAGAACATTTAAATATGATAATACTACAAGTTTTTTTTATATTCCAGCATCCACTTTGAACATTGCATATAATTATTTTAACAAAATTTGCAACAAAATTATTTTCAGAACTGTATTTGACCAAATTTTTAGATACTTCAGCAAAACTGTTATTTACACAAGCGCGCAATACATCAAATAATCCTTTATTTATGAATTATTCTCTCTATAAAGTATTTTAAATAATTATTACTGAATAAATAAATATTAATGCTTTATCGGCTGTGATTTTGTGATAATAATTTTAATAAGTTTTCACTTTTATGTTTTTAAATCACATGCTGTATTCGGTTATAAAATGCAATGCCTAAAGATTGTAATATCATATTATTAAATTATAAACATTTTATAAACCTACAAAAAATTTATTATCAATCTAATTGAAGATATTATTCGAACAATGATATCATATATGTATTACCATTAAAAATACATTTTGTTCTCTCTGCATAAATCTATGTTAAGTTGCGTTAGTCAAAAATTTTGCAGATAGACAACATTTTTAATCACAACATATAGCTTAGAGAAATTGTGAAAAAGATAGGTGAAAAAAATAGACCTTTTCTTTCATGTTCTGTTCGCGCGTATGATAGTTTTATTTACGTAGATAATTTCTGTTCCGGTGTATTTTTGCGCGATTTACCGATTTTCCGATGAAAAATTATGTCCCATTAATCACCGAGAGGCGTATATTTTCAACCGGTCCGCGTCGGAATGCTCGACGTTACGTCCCATTAAATTTGAACCCCGCCGCTCTGCTACCCTTGATTCCCTCGTTATACGGCGTTA